GTGAGAGAGTGAGAGAGAGAGAGAGAGTGTGTGTGTGTGTGTGTGTGTGTGTGTGTGAGTGAGAGAGAGAGAGTGTGTGTGTATGTGTGTGTGTGTGAGAGAGAGAGAGTGTGTGTGTGTAAATTTGTTCATTCATTCATTAATTTGTACAGTGTATAGGATGCTGGATGTCATTATTCTTGAATGATCTGCTGAAGCTCATCGCTGTGTTTCTCTCAGAAATGCACGAGTGGCTCTGATGAATAGTGAAAGATCACTGATTGACAGCAGACTTTCTCCTGCAGAAGTGGTCTTCATCAAATGAGGGATGAAATGCTCTTTTAATTGGCACCAGTCAGGTGTGCGGCGGAGAGCGGCTCTGTGCAGGACTGAGTCTTAGCATGACGTCGCTCTGAGGAATCTCTCTTTGTCTGTGACCGTTCTGTCGTACATCACTCATAAACCATACACTCGTAGTGTTCTGCAGATCCACATCAAACCTTCAGTCTGTTTGATCGTGATAGCAGGTGCTGTGTGCTGAAAATGAATCTCTGAACGCTGCTGATTATTGAATTAGCCCCGTCTGCCACTAATGATAATAATATCTAATATCTAATATAATATTTCCACACGCTTGTGCCGTTTGATAAACACCACATTATTTGCATTTTATTCATACCGTTTTGTACTGAAGAGTGTTATTTTAGTATAATTTTTAAACTAATATAGTTTTTAGTAATATTTTAAATTAGCTTTTATTTTTATATTTTCATATTTTATTTTAAGTTTAAGTTTTGTATGTGCTTTTCTTTTTTATTTTTATAATAAATATTACTATTTAGGTTTATTTTCAGATTTAGTTATTTCGTTTTTAATTATTTCCATTCAGTAATTTTATTGCCCCAACAACTTCAGTTAGCTAAATAATTTTCTAAATTATTTCCTTTGATCTTTTTAATGTAGTATTTTTATTTATTTATTTATTTATCATTATTTTCCCATTTCTGTGCAGACATGAAACCTTAAAGTTTTGACAAATATATATATATTAGAATAATTCTTCAAGCAGGTGTAATTCTTCCAAATATCTTAGAAAGGGGACCAGGTTTCATAAAACTTCCGCTTTGAACCTTGAATGGTGCTGCTTCGTGTTTCTTCTGAATCGTGTTGAACATACAGCATGTCGTCAGTTATTAATGTCTGGTTTACGGTCTCATGGACAGGAGAAGCTGCTGTAAGGCTCCAAATGACCTGAAACGAACAGAAGCCTGTAAACCCCGGCGCATTCTGATCTTGATGTTGAAGTGGTTTGGTTTGGCAGAGTCTGATGAAGGTGTGCGTGCTCATCATCATCGTGGATCGGTGATATGTGTGAAAGGCTACGATGATAAGCTGGGTTTGATCTGGTTGGAGCTTCACCAGATGCTGTCTTCAGATGATTAATGCTCAGCCTCAGGCCAAGATGAACACGCTGAATATCATCACAATCACAATCAGAGTTAACGGAGAGCAAAGCCATGGTTTCTCCTCTGTATCCTCACGTGTGTCTCATCTGGAGATCTCAGCCACGTCTCAAACTCAACTCACCTTTATTCATATGGAGCTTTATTAAATACAGATTGTTTCAAAGCAGCTTTACAGGGATAAAGAAAACAGCGATTCAGTTCAGCTGTAAAGCAGCTCTAAAGAGACCATTAAACAGCCATTATTCAGCTGAAATCAGTGCATTGTTCATCAGTTCTGAGTTGAATTCATCTGAAGTATACAATCAGACGATCTCAGTATGAGCTCAGACATGCTGTTTATTTCATACAGTGAGAAAACAACCGGCGTGGGATTTACGTGTAATGACTTTCCCTCAGAAATTGCTGTAAACTTCACAAATAATTACAAAGAAGCCGATAACTTCATAAGATGTCCTTAACAAAGACCAGCGGCTGAGAAATTAAAATGAGTTATGTTTGGTGTTGTTTTCTAGTTTTAAGCACACATCTCTTTTGTGAGAGTTTATGCTTAAAAGAAGAACAATACACTGTTTTGCAAAGGGGTCAGATAATGTGTGCATGGTCTGGTGATGTTGCTGCTGCTCCTGATCTGAGGAGGAGGAGACATGAGGAGCTTCATATTCTGTCTGCTTCTACCTGCGAGACAAAGCCCGTCCTCGCTCCTCACTCAGCAGTGATGGCTGTGATTACCCCACACGCTGACGAGGATCAGCGACGCACGCAGAAGTAAGAGGCTGTTTGGAGAAGTGCTTTCCCTCACACTGAAGGTAGGGTTTTACTCTGCTTTTACACTGTTCTGACAGATCTCAGAAGCTCAACAGGTTTTCTGAGGGTGTGTGCTCGTGTTTGGGCTGCGGCTGAGTCTGGCATAGAAATTAGATTCAAACTATGTGATTCATTTCTTTATTGATTTCGATGTTTGCAGTTCAATCGTGGACAGATTTTGGTCTAATTTTTTCACAGGAAAAAAAGAAATAAATGAAAAAGAATTCACCCAGAATCTGCAAGTACATTTCACAGATAAATCGAAAGAAACGACAAGTCAAACATTGAATTAAATGTGAAATCTGGAAGTAGTAAGACTAAAGTAGTGTTTTCTATGTACTCCAATAATCTTCGTCTTATTTGGAAATTGAAAATAATTTTAAGATTGTATATAGCAATTGATTTAAACACATTTCGGTGTTTATTCATCAATAAAATAATACACTGTTCAAAAAAAAGGTTGGTAAATATATTGTAAGCATCCAAATTTCATGTTTATGTCATGCCTTTTGTGAAATTTACTAGCAATTTTTTATCCTCACATTAATTGAACATTAATTGTAACCAGTAAAACTGTGCAGCTGTAAGGTGATAGATATATATGTATATATATATATATATTAAAGTGACTTTCATTGATGAAAGAATTGATTTAGTGATTAAATACAGTTTTGATTTGAGTGAAACAGTTTATTTAGACACCTGTGACATTAGCTAGAAGGATTTTGGCTGTTGTGAGACATTTATAACATGTTTATTACAACATAATAACAGGTTTATTACGATATAATGGCTCTGCGTGTGCTGTATTTGCTGACTGTGGGATAGCTCGGTGTAGCTGAGACTCGATCAGGTCTGGATGTCTGAGCTCACACACATGTCCTCGGCCATGGCCCCCGGCACCCCCGGCACCCCCGGCCCCGCCGGCCCCAGAGAGGTGGAGCTGGTCCTGGTGAAGGAGAAGAATGGGGTGCAGCTCACCTCCTCGGCTCTGGTCAGTCCCAGCGGTCAGACGCACCGCTCCGGAGAGGAGCGCGAGACCTGGGGCAAGAAGATCGACTTCCTCCTGTCTGTCATCGGCTTCGCTGTGGACCTCGCCAACGTCTGGAGGTTCCCTTACCTGTGCTACAAAAACGGTGGAGGTGAGAGACGGACGTCTGTGCTTCACAGGGCCGTGAAGCTGATTCAACTTGAGCAGGAATATCCGTTTCTGTGGAAATCTGCCATTTAGAGCTGAACTAGACGGCCTGAGAATGTGGATGTAAAATGTTAAAGTTTAATGATGTAGAGCCTGTGCAACCTTGAAAAAACAATCATGTGAATCCAGTGTGCATCACTAGTTTAGAGCAGGGTTACAGTTAACTAAAACTAAATTAGAAAAAAATAACTTTATTGGAAATACAATCTTAAGCTTATTTTATTCCTGCTGGTGGTCAAAGCAACAGCTCTCATTTTCATTTAGTTTGATTTGACTTACTAAAATAACTCAAGCTAATA